AAAGAGCTCAGAAGGGGTCTCTGCCGTCACGGGGCCCAGGAACACGGAACTCCCATTTTAGGCGAGGGGTAATGCTGCCGATGCGGCTCCAGGGGGTCATGAGACTCACAGGGCTCACAAGGCTCCATGGGGATCGTTGGGGTCATGGGACTGTTAGTGCACATCGGGCACGGAGCTCATAATGCTGAATGGCTTTTGCAGAGGTCATGGGGGTCATAGGAGGCCCATGGTGCTTATAAGGGTCCTGGGGTTCCTTGGTGTCATCAGCTCTTGGGGGCCACGGGGCTCATAGAGCTCGCAATGCTCCTGGGGGCCGTAGGGCCCATAGCGCTAACAGAGCGCGTAGGCCTCGTAGGGCTCGCGGGGCCGATTGGGGTGAAGGGGCGAGTCGGGGCCATGGGGCCCATAGGGCCCATAGGCCGTATACGGCTCACTGGGCTCGCAGGGCTCAGAAAGGGGGGTCTCATGGGTCTCGCAAGGCTTCGGCTTCACGGCTCCTAGTGCTGAAGGGGGTTCCAGGGCTCGTAGGGCGCATAGGCCTCATAGGGGTCATCGCGCTCATATGGTGTCATGGACGGTCGGGGGGGGGTAGTTCATGGGGCTCCTGGGGCTCGTGAGCTCATAAAGCTCATGGGGCTTCTAGCGCTCATGGGCCTCAAAGACTCATCGAGCTCATGGAACTCGGAGAGCTCGTGGGCTCGGAGGGCTCTCAAGGCTCATTGCGCTCATTGGAGTAATAGGGTTCGGGGGGGTCCTGAGGCTCACGGGGCCCATAGGGCTCACAGACCTCATAGGACTCATAGGGCTCATAGGGTTCGTGCGGCTCATGGGTTCGCAAGGGTTAAAGGGCTCATTGGGCGCATAAGGTCCATCGGCCCCATGGAGCCCGTAGGGCTCTAAAGCTCATAGGGCTCATAGGGCTCACGGGGCTCACGGGGCTCACGGGGCCCATGGGGCCCATAGGGCTCATCGGGCTCATAGGGCTCATAAGGCTCAAGGGCTCATAGGGCTCCTAGGGCTCATAGGGCTCATAGGGGTCATACGGCCCATGAGACTCTTGGCCTCATGGGGCTCATGGGTCTCATGGGGCTTATAGGGCTCATAAGGCCTAAAGGGCTCACAGGGCTCACATGGCTCATAGGGCTCATGGGCTCACAGGGGTCATCGGGCTCATAGGGCTCATAGGGCTCTTAAGGCTCATCGGGCTCATGGGGCTCATAAGGCCCATAGGGCTCAGGGGCTCATAAAGCTCAAAGGGCTCATTGGGCTCACAAAGCTCATAGGGCCCATGCGGCTCATAGAGCTCATGGGGCTCATTGGGCTCATAGGGCCGATTGGGGTCATAGAGCTCACGCGGCTTCGGCCTCCTCGGCTCGCGCGACTGATTGGACGAAGTCGCCGGCGCGAGCAAAAGGGACCGATGAATGTTTTTTGGAGGGACGCAAAAGGGCAGGAGAGGTCACGAAAGACATAGGGAGGGAAGGTCAGAGGCATTGTCGATGGGGATGAAGGGAGATGGTGCTGCGGCGCAGCAACGAGCTCGCTAGAATGAATGACTGGTGTTCGTTGGCTGCTGCCGTGGACGACCAGCATCGGCTCAGAACCGGTCCCCGATGCCAGATCGCCTTTGGACAGATGGTCCGAACACGGCCCCGAGAGGCAGAAGCGTCGAGAACTGTATACTCGGGTTTGGATGGTGGATTTTCGTCCAGCCTCTTCCTGTTTCCCTCCTCCTCCCTCCTTCGACATCGTTGCTCCTTCTCCTCTCCTTGTGTGCCTCTCCCCCAGGAGAGCGGGCTTCACACCTTTGGCCGTCTCGTGGCCCTCATGGGGCCCTTGTGATCCGTCTTCCTGGGAGGATCCGCAGAAAGCTACGTCACCACATGTGTGCCGAATGTCCCCTCACATGGACCGCACCCCACAGGGAGCTCCACCGACGGTGAAGAGCCAACGTGTGCATGCCACCTCACGGCTCCACCGACGGTGAAGAGCCAACGCGTGCATGCCGCCGCACCGTCCATGGCGGCACACCCGTGATCTGGATTATGAGTTGGGGGGCCCTTCGGGGTCTCGCGGCGTGTGGGGATGAGAGCTCTGGAGGTGTTAGGGTTCCCAGGCTTCACAGGGCTCATGGGGCACCATGAGGCACCATAGTGGTCGTAGGGTTTGTGGGGCCGACAGGCCTGATATGGCTGATAGGGGTATGGCCTCTCGGGGCTCTCGTGGGGCTCCTTTTGAAGCTCGTTTGGGCTGTCTGGCGGCCCTCCTGGGCCGTCCCGGGCCCCTCTTGGGCCGTCCTGGGAGGCTTGGGCCGTCTTGGGGCCCTCTTGGTTCTTCTTGGGGGCCTACTGCGGCCTTCTTGGGGCTCTCTGGGAAGCCTTCTGGTGCTCTTTGGGGCCGTCTTGGGGCTCTCTTGGGTCATTTTGGAACCCTCTTAGGCTGTCTTGGGGCTCCCTTGGGGACTTCTTGGGCCGTCCTGGGGCGATCTTGGGGGCCTCTTGGGTCGTCTTGGACGCCGTGAAGGCCAAAGAAGCGGATATGCAAAAAAACGTACGTTTCCCGAAAGGAATGGGACGGTGTTAACCTCATGGGGGTCTTCTTGGGGGCCTCTTGAGGCGTCTTGAGAACATCTTGGCCGTCTTGAAGCCACCTTGAGGCCTCTTTGAGCGCTCATGAGCCGTTCTGGAGCGGTCTTGGGCCGCCTTGGGGCTTTGCGGGGCCGTCCAGGGATTTCCAGGAGAGGCCCCCCGAAACCGAAATTCGAATTTGATGTCGGTGGGAGCGCCCAGGGCCGAATTTATGTACGGGGTGGGGTCAGGGGGGCTTTCCGCTATAAGAATGTTCGACGAGGGCGGGCTATCGGCTATGCAACGCATCCCCTCCTGCGCCTCTCCCCCCCCGACGCTTCCCCCGACCTGCTCCCCTCCTCCTCGGCCGCGCGCCTCCTCCGCCCGCGCCTCCGCGCGGTCGACGACGGACTTCAGGGCGGCCTGCGAGCGCGGGCCACGGCAGGAACGGCGGGGAGCGGAGCGGGAAGCAGAGAGGGGGGAGTGGCAGGAGTCGAGCGGCTGCCGCAGGTCCACCTCCGCTCCCCCCCCTCCCTCCCTCTCGTGAGCAGCGAGCGCATCCATGTCCGCGCCCCTGGCGCTCCATACTCTGGGGCCGCGTTCCCGCGGGGCGGGATGCGCGGTCGCACTGTTGCGGTCCGCGCGGGGCATCCGCGAAAAAACACGGCTTCCTCTGGGTCCCGGCCCAGGGGCCTCGTAGATACGGATATGTTTTCCGCCCACGGCCCTCCTCCCAAGGAGAGGACGGAGGAGCGCGGGCTAGGGAAAAGGGTTTAGGGCAAAGGCACGCGCGAGGGAGAAGTGCGGCGGGACGAGGGGGAGCTGGAGAAGGAAGAGGAAGAGGACGAGTGATGAGACAGGAGAGAAGGGGGGGGAAGAGGGAGGAGGAGGGAGGGATGCCAAACACATTGCTTCATCGGGTGGGCGGCCCGAAGTAAAAAATCAACAAAAGGATGCCGGACGCGGTATCAGGCAGCAGAGCAACTGTTGCGGCCTTCACGGCAGGCCCCCCCTCTCGAAAGCCGCGCAGTCTGTGTGTAGCTTCCTCCAACCGGTCGACATCCTTCTAGAAGTGCTGGCGCCATGAATGATCATCGCTTGCAAGCCCTTTGCCAACACAATGTCGCAACCCGAACGTGGAAACCAGAGCCGTAGTCTGGACCACACCGTCATAAGAAGTCTCACCAGGAACCTGGCTCGACTGCTTCACACACACACACACGCAAACAGATAGCTACTCTTTGGGGCTGGTGGCCCGAGACCAGGGTAGAAAACAAGGTGTGTGCTTGCCCGGCGTGGCGCTTGCTGACTCATTGCCCGAAGCTCTCATCTCCATGAGGTCAATCGTACTGTCGGCAGCCGTTGCACTCTAACCGGCCTCAACAGAAGATTGGCCCGAGACCATTGCTTTATGCCCGAGGGATAACACGTGTTACCCTGGGGGGGGGGGGGGGAAACGGTAACGGGGGGCGCCGGCGCGCACCCCCCCCCCAGGCGCGCCGCCTACGTCGTCGTCGTCGTCGTCATCGTCATCCTCGTTGTCGTCGTCGCCGTCGCCGTCCAAGCCCACAGTGCCAGTGCACACGACACGGGCTCTGTGCACCCCTTATGCCGTTGTGCACCAGGACTGCTACAGAAATGTCATGCGCGTGAGCACCACAGCGATTGGATGCAGCACAACAACCGCGTGCACCACAGCGCCTTCGTGCATCCCACTGTCTGCGCACACAACGGCGCCTGCGTGCACCACAGCTGCTGGCTCAGCACCCCGTGTGCACCACAGTGCCTGCGTACGCACGCTGAGCCTGCGGGCACCGCGCCTCGTGCTCCAAGCGGGCGCAAGTGCACCCGTCAAAAGCAGCGGTGAACTTCCCGTCGACGAGGTCGAAGGCACCCTGGTCGAGGACCTCGGCTTCTGGCCTAACCTGGGGAATAGACTGACTACCTACCAGACCACCCCAACCCAACCCGAAGACCCGAATTTCGGGTTGGGGGGGGTATGGGCTCCATATGTGTTTTTGTCGATGTTCCCGGCCCACCCCCACTAGAAATCGAGGGTAAATCTGAGCCCTCGGGTTGGGTTGGGGTGGTTTGGTGGGTGGTGATAGACGGGAGAACCGCGATCTCGAGGCGCCTGTGTATGCCGCCGTGCCTGTGTACACCACAGCAGCCGTCTGGGCCGTGACGCCTGTGCTTATCGACGCCACAGCTGCTGTTTCAGCACCCCTCCGTGTGCACCGCAGCGCCTGCGTGTACCGCAAAGCTTGTCTACACCTCTACGGCCCCGACGGAACCAAAGTCCGGGAAAACGTTTGGGGCCCGAATGTATCAGATTCAATGTGTGATCGGATTGTGATTATTGGTTCTCCTGGCCCAGAACTTCCTGGACATTTTGAGCCCACAGCGAATGTGAAACACAACACCTGTGTGCAACATAATTAAGGCATGCGTGCACCACAAAGCTTGTGTACACCAGAATGCCCGCTTCCTGTATGCGCAAGGAGGACGACGACGAGGGCGAAATCATCGAGGGAGGATAAAAAAGTACGAAGAGATGCGTGGGTACATTATAGCCCGCAACGCACGCCGACTTCATAGCAACTTTGCGCGCTATAGCGATTGTGTATATCACGGCGCCTGTGTACACAAAATGGCTTGTGATGTGTAGACCACACTGCTCGCGTACACCCACTTTGCCTGTGTACACCACAGCTGCTGCTGCAACGACAGATGTGTGCGCGCCACAACGCACGTGTACACCGCACAATCGTGTCCCCAGAAGCTTCGACCTACGCTTGCCAGCATGATGATACCGGCCCAGGATGCTGCCCGAGAGCTGCGAGCAAATATTGGGGTCCACAATGGGTAACCCCTCGCTGACCGTCTCTACGCCACAACGGGCACAGTGGCAGGGTCATCGAATCCCTCGCGCTGGTCAGCATCATCAAAATGCCGGATGCTGGCCCACGACATCGTTCGAATGCAGCTGATCCATCGTAGGTGTAGTGCTGGCCAGCCCCACGCTGGCTCTGCACGAAACACGTAACACAACGGCATATCCCTCCATCTTTGCATCGTGGCCACCTTTAGCGGCAGGCTGGCCAAACAAACAAACAGCAACTCTCCATGGCAAAGCTGGTCCGCAAGCTGGCCCGAGAACTCGCCATCCTTCTCGCCAGCAAGACGAGCGAAAGGCATCGCCTTCCCACCAGAGCTGACGCCAGGAAGCTCGTAGTCCGTCGCGGCATCAGAATATGCCCCAACAAAACCTCCTCCTCGCAAGTTCTGGAACAGCTCAGCGCGAGCGCTCATGGCTCTGGTCTTGCAGACGGGCTACCGTGAACATGCACGTGGACATTCTGCAGGGGAAACACCTCACAACGGCGAGCCCAAAACGCGGACTTTCGCGTGGATGCTGTACGTCTCACTTCCCGACATGAGGTCCGCCCCACCTCCACCGCGAAACCCGCGACAATCTCTCAGCTCTTCTGCTGGCCTTCCCGATCGAAGCCCGGTCTGCGGAGCGGGCGCCGTGAGGGCTCGCACGAAGGCGCCCCGCAGCTCCTGCAGAAGCCTGCCCTCCGGCCTCGGCCCGCGCCGCCCGCGGCGAGGCGGGTGCCGCGAGGGGCGCACGGGAGGCCGAGGCGGCCCTGCCAGCAGCAGGCCCTGCGCGCCACGCCCACGCCCGACGAGGGCGGCCCTCCACGTCGGCCCCTCGGCGTCCAGGAGCCCGTCGCGGCGTGGGGCCCGAAGGCAAGCGGACGACGAAGAGAAACGGGTCTTGCGCGAGACGGCGTAGCGACCTGACGCCACGGCGCACGTGGGCTGCCAGCGCGGCGCGCCACACTGGAGGCGCGGGACCCCACGCGAGGCCTTGCGCGGGCAGCTTACGCGCGGAAGTCGGTGAAGACGATCCTGTTGTTCTGCGTCGCTCAAATGCCATGGCAGGGCCCCTGGACCCTTTCGAGTTCTGCCTCTGGAGATTCAGTCGGGGGCCTCTTGGGCCCCACTTGCTGGCTCGGAACCCATCATGGAGCGATCGTGAAACGTATTGCGCCGTCTTGGAGATTGTCAGGGTGTAATGGGGCCATGCTAAAGTTTGATTCAAAATCAAAGTGAGGGGGCTGAACCGAACGGTCATTCACTGTCCCTGGGTGTGCGACTGAAGTGGAATTCCGCGATGCGGATTATTGAGCTCTCACTTCTGAAAAATCATTATTGTTGACCCCCCCGTCCGGCGCACATTTTCTTTTCAATTGAAGTGCCCTTCCCGGGGCTCGCACCCTGTTTTTTCATCGGGGAAAATTTTGAGGATCAAACTGTGTTGTTGGCCCCTGGTTTACAACAACAACAACAACGGCTCCCGCCTGATAGTTCCTTTCAAATTATTGCAGAATCGCGCTCTCGCTTCGGACTTCCTTGCGATTTACCACCGGATCGCGACTTCCGCTTGATATTTCCTTACACTTTATTAGAGAATCGCGTTCTCACTTGGGGCTACCGCGTTCCTCTCGACACCTCTGCAGTTATCATTATCTTCCCGCCCCGCTCTCCCAACATCCCGCTTCTTTTCAGGGTTCCACGAAATTTGTTTCTGACACCAATTCGCAACTGTACGTCCCCCCGTGGGGGTATCCACGACATGTTCTTTCAATGAGGTGGTACGTGGCGCTGTTTATGGCGCGACCCATGGCGAAACTTATTGTTAACCTGTGTTGAAGTGGCTGGCGCAAGCCATGGTGCAAGCTGAATCGCCACTCGCAGCGCAAATTATCGTCCTCCCTCCTTCTTGCCCCTCCCCTCCCTTCCTCCGATCCCTTCGTCCTCACTATCCCCCGTTATTTCGTACCCTTCGTTTTAAGGGTTTCACCAACCACACGTGGCAGGGAATGAATATACCCCCCAAAAGGAGGTACGATCGAAGACGAAGATGGCGGGTATCCAGGGTTTGGGATATGCATATTGAATGACACGCGAGCAGATATGAACGAACAACATTGAAATGATTGTTGTTGTAATTGTTGTCGCTGTTGTTGTTGGTGTTGTTGTGTTTGTTGTTTGCTGTTGGTTGTTTGTTATGTGTTGTTTGTTGTTTGTTGTTTGTTGTTGTCGTCCCACCCGCGACCCACCCGCGACCCACCCGCGACCCACCCCGCGACCCACCCGCGACCCACCCGCGACCCAACCCGCGACCCACCGGCGACCCACCCCGCGACCCACCCGCCACCCACCCGCGACCCACACGCGACCCACCCCGCGACCCACCCCGCGACCCACCCGCCACCCACCCGCGACCCACACGCGACCCACCCCGCGACCCACCCCGCGACCCACCCCGAGACCCCCCTGGCGACCCACCCGCGACCCACCCGCGACCCACCCGCGACCCACCGCGACCCACCCGCGACCCACCCACGACCCACCCCGCGACCCACCCAAAATTTTCGGCGCCTCTGGCGGGTTTCTTTCGAACTCGTTCCAAGTGGAGAACCTGCGACACGCCCCGCGACCAAACCGCGCCCGCGACCCACCCGCGACCCACTACAACCCACCCGCGACCCACCCGTGACCCACCCCGCGACCCACCTAAAATTGTCGGCGCCTGCGGCGGGCTTTTGTTGCATTCGTTCCAGGTGGAGAACCTGCGACCCACCCGCGACCCAAACAGCGTTCAGTGTACAAACCAAAATTGTCGGCGCCTGCGACGGGCTGTTTTTGAATCCCTTCCAAGTGGAGGTGGAGAGCCCGCGACCCACCCGCGACCCAAACTACGTTCACCGAGCAAGCCAAAATTTCGGCGCCTGCGGCGGGTTTCTTCTGCATTCGCTCCAGGCGGAGAACCTGCGACCCAAACCGCGTTCAGTGTACAAATCGAAGTTTTCAGTGACTGCGGCGGGTTGTTTTTGCATTCGTTCCGGGTGGCCCACCAGCGATCCCCCCCGCGGTGAACTTGTCAGAGCGCGCAAATCGGCGCCTGCGGCGGGCTTGCTCGCATTGGTTTGGGAAAGCGCCCTCGTGCCATTCCCCGGATCCGGCCCACGCTGACCCTACGACAGCACATCGGCTGTGTCTGAACACATTCATTGACAATCCAGCTGCCTGCTGCAATTCGGCATCCGTGCACAAAGCCTGGGTTCAGGGGATGATGCCTCAAGGCGCCCACAATTAAGGAGCCTCGGGGCGCTCAAGGACCCTCGCCTGAGGGTGACGTCCACGAACCCTACCACACAGCACGCCAGTGCCGCACAAGCGCGGCGGCGGATGTTGCATGCCGTCTGAGCCCCCAACACCTCTTCAAGCTCCGCTCATCCACACCAGCCCATCCAGCAACTTTACCCTGGCGAGTTGCCTGGATCAGAGAAGTCGGGGAGCATTCAGTGGAACAAAGGATTGGTTTGCCGTTATCTTGAGAAAGGAGGGCGAGGCAGAGGAGTAAATAGGGGACGAGGAGGACGCGGAAGAAGAGAGGATGTAAGGATAATGTGGGGAAAGAGGAGGAGGAGAAGCAGGAGGAGGAGGAGGAGGAGGAGGAGGGCGCAATCGACAGGGAAGGTGAGGGCCACGAGGTCCACCGGCTCGACGCCCGCGTCGCCCTCGCCCGCCCCCTCACTCTTATCCGCAAGTGCGGAGTACTGCGTACTTATAGCACCCCGCAGTTGCGGATACGAGTGAGGGGGCGGCGAGGGCGTCGTCAGTCTGCGAGGCTCTGAAGAAGCCCGCCGCAGGCGCTGAACTTTTACAAATTATGCAGTGAGCCCGCCGCAGCCACCGATTTTATCGTTAAAGCAATGTGGATGGATCGCGGGGTGGGTCGCGGGTGGGTCGCAGGTGGGTCGCGGGCCGGGTCGCAGATGGGTCGCGTATGGGTCGCGCCGGCGGGTGGGTCGCGGGTGGGTCGCGAGGTGTGTCGCGGGGTGTGTCGCGGGGTGGGTCACGGGGTGTGTCGCGGGGTGGGTCGCGGGGTGTGTCGCAGGGTGGGTCGCGGGGTAGTTCGCGGGCGGGTCGCGGGGTGGGTCGCGGGGTGGGTCGCGGGGTGGGTCGCGGGGTGGGTCGCGGGGTGGGTCGCGGGTTGGGTCGCGAGGTGGGTCGCGGGCGGGTCGCGGGCGGGTCGCGAGGTGGGTCGCGGGCGGGTCGCGGGGGGGACGACGACGACGACGACAACGACGACGATGACGGCAACGACGACGATGACGACGACAACAACAAGCAGAATCCCCACCACGGATCACCACTTCAGCCACGCACCTAGGGACAATGAATGACCGATCGGCCCCCTCACTCTGATGTGTGTGTGGTTCGATAAGTTGGGCCTCGTGGGCCTACACCCAGAGCCTCCAAGACAGCGGACCCTGCCCAGGTGTCACGGCGGTGCCCTTGATCAGCGCTCGGGCCATCGCGATCGCTCGCGCGTGGCCCAGGAATGGCACAGGCGATGCACGGCGCAGTCCACAGGCGAGATGTCAGCGCCGCAAGACTGGCGAAGGATCGCCTGCAGTCCGCCTTGGACGAGCTGCGCGACCTCCTCGATGCCGCTGTGTTCCACAATTGCGTCGACACCGCCCGTCGTAGCGGCACCACCCACGCCTGCACAAAAGCCCCCGCCCACGCTGTCGGCGTCAACGTTGGCGGTAAGATTGCACGTCGAACCAGCAGCACCCGCACGCTCGCATGAACACCTCGTCCACGTACCGCGCGCCCACCACGAATCGCTGCTCGGCCTTCCCGTGGCCGACTTCGTGTCGCCCATGGTCTGGAGGCAGGGACCTTCCACGCAGCACTGCCGCGACGCCATCCTGGCCGCTGGCTCCCGCGCTGCGGCTCCGCCTCCTCCTCCTCCTCCTCCTCCTCCTCCTCCTCCTCCTCCTCCTCCCCCTCCCCCTCCTCCTCCTCCTCCTCCTCCTCCTCCTCCTCCTCCTCCTCCTCCTCCTCCTCCTCCTCCTCCTCCTCCTAGCATCGCCCGCCAGAGCGGGCAAATCTAAGACCTCCCCGACCGAGGCCGAAGGTGGCCGCTAGGGGGGGGGGCCGCCTCGGGGGGGGGGAAACATGAAGCCGGGATCGACGATACCTCGCCGAGAGATCGGCCAGCGATGGGCCCCCGATTGCACATCGCACGCCCCTGGGCGGGAGGTGCACCCTCGGGCCCCCGCCGGCGACGAGCGAGCGACCGGGGGTCGGCGCGCCTCCCGCGGCGTGCTGCGCCTCGCGAAGCGTGGCAGGCCCAAGCCGGCGGCGCTACACGCCGAGCAGAAGTTCCTGACCGCGTCCCCCCCCCCACACCCATGGAGCCTCTCGCCGCTCGCCACCCCCGCTCGCCCGCCCTGCGCCTCCCTGCTCTGCTCGCGGCGGCACCGCCAGCTTCTCGCGAGCGCCGCCTCCGCCAGCCAGGGAGGCAAGGAGGGGCCGCTCCCCCCGCCTCGTCCCTCTCCTCCCTCCCCCGCCTCGCCGCCGCCCCCCCTCCCCTCGGACCACGATAATAATAGCGGCGACGACGACAACGACGATGACGACGACGACGACGACGACGACGACGACGAGAACGGAGATGACGACCTCCAGACAGTCGGGATCGAAGTCGCGCTTCTTCACCATCTCGCGGAAGACATCCAACGTTATGGTCATGTTCTCCCAGGCCATGGCAAGATCGGCGAGGGAGGAAAGAACGGAGTAAGAGATAGCGGGGGGGGGTGAGGGTAAATGGATGGATGGAAGGGGGAGGGGAGGAGACATGGATGCATGCAGGGATGGACGGAGGGATGGATCGAAGTGGGACATGGGGGGAGGGAGGGAAGGGTGGGGGAACGTAGGAGGATGGGTGGATATATTGATGGCTAAAGGGATGGAGAGGGAGCAGAAGGAGGAAGAGAGGCGGAGAAATAGGGGAGTATATCCAGGGTGATGGTTACACGTTCTCCCAGGCCAGGGCAAGAACGGGGAAAGAGGGATCGATGGAAACTGAGAGGGCGCGAGGGGGGAGGATGGATGCGTGGAAGAAGGGACAAAGGGCGAGCAGGGTGGAGGAAAGGAGGAAGGGAGGAAGGGAGGGAGGAGGGGGCGGAGAAAGGTTAGGAGGCAACCCCTACAACCCTCGTCAAAAATAAACTGAGGGATTCTGTTTTCGGTGATTGTATGGTCAGCGCTACTCCAATGCTGACGCTAGATATCTGACGTGGGCGCAAGGGCTTCAAAAATCCGACGACCCCGCCGCAGCATTGAAGAACGCAGTTTCTAACAAGTGCCCGAGAAGATCGACCGTCGTGATTTCCAACTTCGTTTCTGTTTATTTTTGACGAGGTTTGTAGGAGGTCATCAAAACGATTCAAGGCCACTGAGCCCAATTCGGGGGGTACTGAACCGGATCAGGCCAGATTAAGCCTGGGCTTAAGCCAGCTAGAGCGAACTTAGACCAGATGAAGCGGGATTACGCCAGATCAGGCGGGACTGAGCCGGAATAGGCCAGGTCTCGATCAGGGGTCTACTGGCGCCGATTCAGAACTCAACCTCCCGGAGTGGCATCCTAGGGCAGGGAGGACGGAGGGAGGAAAAGGAGGACCATGTCAAACTCAAGATCCGCCATTGATGCTGCCACACACGTTCCCGTCCCAAGTCTTAAGTCGGGCACGTCCCTCTACAGGAGAAATCCGCCGGCCCCCTTGTGGGGCCACCAGGCTGTAGGCCGAAGGTTCGCAGTTTCCTGTACCAGTTGCAGCTTCCACTGTTACAGTTCTGCTTCTTGCTGCTTACTGTTCATTGTTGATGGACCGCGCGAGGGAGGGGAGGCCCAAACAGGCAGGTTTAGCACGCCCTGAGCGTGTGCTCTGAATTGCTGGGGTGGGTAAAAATTGGCACCCCTCACGCAGATCAGCGGGGTCATGGTCCAAAAACACACGGGAATTGCTACATTTTTGAAATTCGGTGGCACGCCTCACGCAGATCGGCGGGGTCAGGGTTCACAAACACATGGGATTTGCCACATTTCTGAAATTTGCTGGCACCCCTCACGCAGATCGGCGGGGTCAGGGTCCAAAAACAAATAGGGTTTGCCACATTTCTGAAATTCGGTGGCACCCCTCACGCAGATCGGCGGGGTCAGGGTGCAAAACTGAAATTCGGCGGCACCCCTCACGCAGATCCGTAGGATCAGGGCCCAAAAATACATGGGAGTTGCCACATTTCTGAAATTCGGCGGCACCCCTCACGCAGATCCGTAGGGTCAGGGTCCAAAAACACATGGGATTTGCCACATGTCTGAAATTCGGCGGCACCCATCACGCAGATCCGTAGGGTCAGGGTCCAAGAACACATGGGATTTGCCGCATTCCTGAAATTTGGTGGCACCCCTCACGCAGATCCGTAGGATCAGGGTCGAAAAACAAACAAGTCCTGACCCTGCTTCACGGCGGCGCCCAGTCTTCATGATTTGGCTTTTGCATCTCCCATTCTCCGAGACAAGGGGGCCGGCGGCATGGGGCGAAGCCCTTACGGATAGGGGAGGATTTGTTTACTGCTGTTTGCCATTTTGGAATCTGTTTGGAATGCTTTTAATTTTTCATTCAAAATCCGCCTGTACCCCCATCCTGAAGTGCAGGTCCCTCAACGCCTTGTCAAAAGCCGATCTCTGCTGCTTGGTCGGCGCCAGCCTTGGGTACAGCAGAAGACACTTGGACACATATCTGAGGTACCTCTGGAGAGTTGCCTTTTCTTCGGCATGTGCCTCCCTCTCAGCTTGGGAGGCCTCTGCCAACGAGGCCGCCCCTAGTTTTGCATAGCGGTCTGCAAAATCGTTGCCGGTAGCTAAATACCACACTCTGGATTGCGGCTCCAGCTGCTCCAGATTTAAATGCGCGGCAACTTTTGATATCGTGAAGTCTGCATGCCACGTCGGCGAAGCACGTATCTTGATTCGCATGCCCGCATAGACGTGCTGCTTCGAAATCACCTTCGGCCATGGGGCCGTGGTCAGGCGGACCAAATCGAGGAAATCAGAATGTATGCCCGTTGCTTCCGGGCAGTGCTCCATTACGGCCAGGGCGGCCATGTGCTCTGCCGCGGAGGACGTCTGTGGATATTGGTCGCCTACCGCCCCCCAGAGAGCCGCAAAGAGATCGCCGCCGGCCGTGAGCTTGACAACTGCCCAACCAGCAGCATGAAATTCCTCTGGCCCTTCCTTTAGGCAGGATCCATCTGTGAAAACCTCCCCGCGGAAGGCAAGCTGCACCGTGCTTTCAGGCACAGCACACCAGAACTTGAAAGGCGTCGTACCTGACCCGCTCGGAGCCTGCACTGGAAACCCTGGCAGTAGAAGAAAACCTCCTACCAGCAGAAAGTTTCTCAGGCGGTCTGTGAGGATGATCGACTGGCTCCAGCATCTCACCTCGGCGGAGAGGAGCCGATAGCGGGCAATGGTGCAATATGTGCGAAAGATGATCGCTGTGGTGACCGCATGCGCACTGCGTCGAGGCTGCATACCCCGCCTGCCTGAACCTGTGGCCAGTCCACACGGATTGCCAGATAAAGCACACTAGGATACCGGCCTCCTGCCTGGTCATACCTCCTTCAAAGATCAAGCTCCGAGCCACGCTCAAGTCCAGCGACGCCCCGGGTTCCAACCCGAATCTATGGGTTACCGTGGCTAGATGCATGTTCTGCCAAGCTGCTCACATCTTGTTTTCGAAAAACTTGGGCGAGAAAGCCGTGATCGGCCACAGCTTACCAGGTTCGTCCTTGAAAGCTAGCGCTGAGTGAAACTGCCACGCACGCACGCAGGGCAACCCTCAACAAAACCAAACAAAAAGGGGGTGGACCTTTAGCCGGCCGCCGCCAAAGGGATACGCTTCGATGCACGCAGCCGCCAGAGGGGAAAAAGGCTTTCAGACATCGATGTCGTCAGTTGTTGCGCGAAGGAAGGATTTGTTCAATGCCGTACCGCATGACAGCAACGAAAATGTCACGAACTCCCGTGGCATGGGCGTGTACCGCACAATCGGACGGACCAGCACGCAAAGCCGGTGCCTTGCCGCGGTCACACGGCACAAATTGATAGATTAATCTTCTAACAAAGGCACAGGCACGATACGGCGAGCATTGGCACGCGATAGAAGGATTTGGCCAACTGTCTCGACTGCCGTGGAGACTTAGTGGCCAGAGCACGCCAGCAAGATTTTGCGGACCACTGCTGCGGCAAGTTCGCTGCCCCCATTCGGGATGCCACCCCGTAGGGGCCCCGATTCGACAGGATCACCTGGGGCATGGGGTGAGGAGGGGGTGGCGGCCAGCGATATCGATACAGGGTGGAACATCGACCGGTGTTCCTCAAGCCCCTCAGTATCGTGGCTATCCGCCATCCCCCAAACCTTAGGTTGCGAGGCGGCCGCCCGCACCGGCCATCCCCCTGCCACCGACGGGGTGAGCTGTGAGTGGCTGGCCCGCAATCTAAGGCTACAACCGGGACAATCCTCCTCCTCCTCCTCCTCCTCCTCCTCCTCCTCCTCCTCCTCCTCCTCCTCCCTCTCCTCCTCCTCCTCCTCCTCCTCCTCCTCCTCCTCCTCCTCCTCCTTTCCCTCCTCCTCCTCCTCCTCCGCCTCCCTCCTCCTCTCTCCTCCTCCTCCTCCCTCCTCCTCCCTCCTCCTCCCCTCCTCTCTCCCTCGTCCTAGTCTCCTCCTCCTCCTCCTCCTCCTCCTCCTCCCAAATCCTCCCAGATCCTCCTCCTCCTCCTCCTCCTCCCAAATCCTCCTCCTCCTGCTCCTCCTCCTCCTCCTCCTCCTCCTAACTCCCCATCCTTCACCTCGTCCTTTCCCTTATCCTCCTTCCTTACCTCCCCTAGGCGGAGGTAGGGTGGGCCCCCTCTGCCTGACCAGTCCCCTCCTCGTCGTCCGTCACGACCTTCATGAACTCCTCCCGTGGGCAGGCTACGACGACGACGACGACGAGGACGACGACGGCGACGGCGCGGCAGCGGGAGGCAGCAGTCAGGACGGCGACGAAGGCGACGGCGACGGCAGCAACAGCGACGGCGATGGCGATGGCGGACGGCGACGGAAACGACAGCGACGTCGGCGACGACAGCGACAGCGACAGTGACAACAGCGACGGCGGCAACGGCGACGGCAACAGCGACGGCGACGACGAAGACGACGACGACGAGCAACTGTCTCGTGGCGCCAGAGGCCTGGGCGTGGCCTCCAAACTTGGCGCGCTCCGACCACCATCTCGACGCGACCCTGGTCGTCCCGGCGAGGGCGCCCGAGGAGGTGCCAGCAGCAACGAAACAGGCAGAATCCTTATCCCCCGAGCTCGCCACAGGAGAGAGCTGGGCGCGGCCTTTGCCACGGCGAGGTCCTGGAAGTTCTTCCTCCCCCGCGCAGACCATCCAGACACCAGACAGCCGCAGCCACGAGCGCTGCAACGCCGTGGACACGAGCAGTCATTACGGAGCGGTTGCTTCTTCAAGAGTCAAGCCTGCAGGAGAACAGTGCTGAACGAAGCGCGCCTGCGGCCTCTGACCGCCTCACACGCGTGGGAGGGCCAACCTCCTGCACTGAGCGATGAGCGATGAGGAGAGACACGACACCGGTTTCGTCGCGGACCTGGCGCTCGCGCAGGTAGAAGTACGCAGCCAAGTTGGGCTGCAAAAGAGCTACTTGGCACCGAAACAAAACCAGGCAAAGAACGCCGCGAAGGAGGGGGGTTGCGGGGGGCGCACTCAGGGAAGGATCAACTTGTCCGGGTGAACTGCTCAGCACGCACCTGCCAGGGCGCAGGGTCACGGTGTCCGGGGGGTTCTCGTGGCAACCGAGGCTTCAGCAGAAGACGCAGCAACTGAAGGCGGGCTGCCACAGGAGAACCACGACACGGAAACGCCCAAAAAAGAGAAGCAGCCGCCACGGAGGTGTGGCCGAACATCGGTGGGCCAAAAATTAGGCCGGGGGTTCTACAGTCGGGGCGTTGACCTAAGGAACCCTAAGTAAGGAACGAGGCCCCTTTTTTCCATAAGTTAAACTTCAACTCCCCATCGAAAACCTAAGGACAACCTAAGGCAAACTGCGAAACAATTAAGGAACACGGAGCCCCTCCCCAACGAAAAGGGTTCCTTGTTCAGCGCCCCGACTGTACACTTCCACCGCCCGGGGGACCGCCTTCCCAGGAAGGATGCACTTGGGCCCCACAGGGGGGCCCAACATGCCCGCAGATCCACCGCCACCCGAGGCCCCAGGAGGATCGGCTCCCCCGGCGATGGATGTGTACAGGGCAGTTTTTAACACATGGGATTTCTAAAAATATAGGATGTTTCATACATGCTTAATTTATGAATAAGTATATGCATGAACTCATCGTTGTTTTCAATGCTAAATCCCTGCATGTTTACTACATGATCCGCCCGCGGAGCATGCATTAAAAACGGCACTGTATGCAGACAGTCAACGACATGACTTTTCCAATGCGCGGCCCCAGAGGTCCCGACCCTGTCTTCCCGCGGGCCAACTTGCGTCCCGGGTCTCTGTTTGATGGCCCCGGTGTGAGATAATGCGCGGCCCCAGAGGTCCCCTCCTCCTCCACCTCCTCCCCCTCCTCCCCTCCTCCTCCCCCTCCTCCTCCTCCTCCTCCTCTTCCTCCTCCTCCTCCTCCTCCTCCTCCTCCTCCTCCTCCCCCTCCTCCTCCTCCTCCTCCTCCGACGCCTAAGCAGCCGCAGCGCAGCAGAGGCTCGTGCAGCAGAGCTTGTCCGCTGCCCGTTCTGGCCCCAACCTTGCACGTACTGAAGGGCCCTTGAGCTATTTACGCGTGTGATACGAAAGCATACACGAATGCAAAATCCCTTGCTTCTCTTATTAAAATTCCACATCGTCGAAAGCATTGGGAACATCGATCCGTTCACATTGGTAGAGGAGCTGGTTCGGACCGGCTCGCACCGTCCAGATCTCCAGAACCTGCTGCACGACCAGTTCAGCAGGTACGACTGCTGCAACAACAGGCTCGACCAGTAGTCCACCTCCAGCGAGGTCTACAGCGACAGCACATCAGCCTACGATCCCTTCTCCGACGGCCTACTCGACACCCTCTGCCTCACCAAGACCAGCATCATGAACACGGCGAAAGGCGGGTAATACGCATTTGTCGGGATGGCTTTTGCTTCTCCAACGTCAGCACGCCCGTGAACGGTGGTACACACGACATCCATCAAGCAAACCCGGAGCCACGCGAAGACGAATCTGCAATACGCGATCCCGCGCGTGTTGTGCAGCCAAACGGTACTGCGTGATCACAGAGGATCGAGGGCGAGGAACAGGAGGAAGGGGAGGGCAGCTCTTAAAGAGAGAGGAGTTCCGACGCTCGAGGGGCATTTGCAGCAAGTGGAAAGCGTACGAGGGGCGTGCGACGATGCGCTTGGCATAGCGCACCCTGGGGGAGAAGAAGGGCGGAGCAGCTCGTCTGCTAGCGACCCGCCTCGCAGGAGAAGCCTGGGACGAGATAGACGACATGTCGGCCGACGACCTGACCAAACTGGGGGCGGCCTCCAGTAGGCGGCGCGCCTGGGGAGGGGGCGTGAGAGGGGCAAGTCTTCTCAGAAGGCGGCGGGGCTTCTCATAAGCTCCCGTGCCTTCTGAGAAGGTTTCTGCGTCTTCGTGAAAGGCTTTGAAAACTTCTCAGGAGGCCAGATGCCTTCCAAGCATTCTGAGAAAGCCTGCCCCTTCTCACTTCCCCCCAAGCGCGCCGCCGATCCAAACTCATGGACAGGCTACGCGAGCGAGTCTAGAAGGAGGACCGCACAGAGCCGGCGGACAACTTCGAGGAATATTTCGACCGACTGGAGCGGATGAAGGGCGATACTCTCTGTTCGCACATCTCACGGATCAGAGAAGTAGAGCGGAAGCTCAAGACCCACGACATCCAGCGACCAGCCAAAGTTCGAGGCTGGCGAGTCCTGCGACGCGGCGGCTGTGGTTCAGACCGAAAAGCAGTGATCATGTCTACCGTTGGTAAGGACATCACCCAGGACAAAGCGACCGAGGCGCTCGAAACAACGCTCGGGCAGGAGAGCACAACGCACGAGAGCACTACGAATTCTACGGTGAGGGCTGCCCAGACGCGGAGGAGCATCGCGTCCAGGACTACGAGGAACTCGAGTTCGAACAAAGGCAGGAGCAGCAGTCCTGGGACGAGGGCAGCGAGACCTGGTGCGACTGCGACGAGGCCTACTACCAGCGTGACCCCAGCGTCAGCCAAGACTACGACGTCGGCGAGTTGCACGACGTCTACGCAGCCTACTCTGAAGCGGAAACACACATCAAAGACCGACGTCGGTCCCACGGATTCTCCTCAGTCCTGGCGATGGTCGACACGGACACGAGCAGCGTATCATCACAGACGAAAGGCAAGCCAGGTGGACGGGGCAGGTCAAAAGACAAATCCAAAGGCGGAAGGTCATCATCGAAAGGCAGCGATGGCGGCAGGAAAGGAAACAGCAGTCCCCTCCAGAGAATCCTTGTGTTCGGCCACAGCCGAGTGCAGCACTACGAGCAGAAGCAGCGAGTAAACCAGCTTCCAGAACCTCATCGACGTGCCTACGGTGTGGTAAGTCGGGACACTGGGCTCGCGACTGTACAGGGTCACCGAGGACACGAGCCCACAACAAAGGAAATACACAGCATGCAGATGATGGTAGTCGAGGTCTATACTGGGACGAGCGGTGGGAGACTACAAGCCAGCTTTTACCCCAGCAAGGCATTCTGGCCTGAGGAGCGGCGACGCTCATGTCTGGATCCGAGACGATCACGATCTACCTCACGGAGTTTCGCAGCAAGGGATACTCGATCGAGGAGCCCAGCTTGTACACGTGCAAGCGGCCTTTCAGCACGACCGAGCACGCTCTCTGGTGCGGCGTGACCCCAGCAAAGGTCAAGAAACGCATGGCACCATGGACATCGGCGTGGTGCCAGGACTGACGCCGATCCTGCTCCCGAGGCCCCTGCTAGAAGAGCACTATTTCTGGCCCGGCCACGCGACGCAAAAACTATCCTGGAACGATGTCGAGTTCGAGGACGCGACGCGATCCCCACAAGGCCACTACACGGTGGATCTGCAGAAGGACCTGGAAGAAAGTAAGTACCAGACGGTACCAGTTCGAGCCAGCAGATGCGAAGCAGCTCCTGGACCACAGCAGCGACAGAGCGGAGGAGCAGATGCAGCCTGGGGGGTCCGATACGACGGAGCGAGCCAAGGAGCCAAGGAGGATATATCAGCCTGGCATGCCCCGAGAAGGTACTACGAGGGCACAAGTCCATCTTTGCAGCTATCGACTGGCTTTCCTTCAAACTACTGCGAATCGTAATATCCTCACTACATGCGGAGTCTCAAGCGGCAGCCGCAAGCATGGACGCATTGAGGTGTGTCAAACGGCTCTGGACAGCCCTGGTCTACCAGGATATCGACATCACCGAGGACGAGAGCACACATTTCGCAGGAGAATCAGCACTGGCGATCGACGCGAGGGCACTTTACGACGCGGCCACATCACCAATTGTAAGGACAAGAGGATCAGCATCGAGGTGCTCGCACTGCGCGAACTGATGGAGACGACGAGCACACAGTGGAGATGGGTATCATCTACGAGGCGACACAAAGATGGGCTCGCCATAATAGCAGCCAGAACGCCGTTCGTGGACCGACTACGGTACGGACGCCTGAAGCTGACGCACGACCCGACCTACACGGCAGCCAAGAAGAAGACCAAGGTACATCACCAGTTACAAGAACGGCGAAGTCACCACTGACACAGCTGGCAATACATGCAGCGTGTTGCTGGAAAGCAACACGCCGACATCGGCAAGGAGATCAAGAACGAGAGTTGCGTACCCTGATTTGAGGTCATTTCTGTGATGGTCGGGGCCGGCCGTGACACGGCCAATAATCAACCAACTCAACACATCGAGATACAACATGGAGCTCATACAAATCAAGCTGGACGCTGCTACCCAGCAGGATTACGACGACGAGAACATCCAGAAGTCCAAGGCGACAAACTACGACGATCAGAGGAACGATAGACCAGAACATACAACCCCATGCCCTACGGCACGGCAGCCAACACAACCGGGACCTACGACGTGAGGACGGTTGGTACACAGAGTACGTGCACCGACAGGCTCAGCAGCGACACGTAGCGCTTCGTGCACGCCAGACAGGAATTCGCTCGGGCGGGCGAGACGACGGCTGGGAAGTTGCAGCCACGCACCTGCATGCGCCCTGGTCAAGCGAATCACGCCAGCTAGCGTGTCAGAACATATTTGCTGCAGGTATTCGCTTCGTACGTGTGTGCCTATACGTTTGCTTGCAAGTTTCTTCACGGACCCTTTCAAGGATGTGAGATGTGCGCTGTAAGTCCTGGCGCTTACAGCAAGCGGCAGCATTGTAATCAGTGGAGGGTTGCGCAGCGGAGATTATCCGCTGCCCGTTCTGGCCGAATTATTGTACTTAAGGGCGCTTGAGTCTCTTACGCTTGCGGTGTGAAAACATTATCGAATGTATTTCCTCTCGTTGACGTTCCAGATCGTGAAACACTTCGGGAGCTTTGATCAGATAATAGTGGGGCCCGAAAGCGGGCCCCGGAGGCCGAAACCAAGCAAGCAAACGCCAGGATCGAAGAGATCATATCGTCGGGGCTCTGAGTAGAACTCCCCGGCCTCGCACAACAAAAAACAGGGCATCTCAGTTCGCGCTTCGCCTTTCCCGAAGCGCGAATCGCGAATAGCGTGGCGCTCTCACGCCGCCACCCAAGGGGAGAAGAGAAGGACGAGGAAGATGAGTATGAGGAGTCGCGAGCCGCGAACCGCAAGCCGCGAGCCGCGAATTATTTAGCGCCCTCGCGGCCCCCTTGAAAACCCAGGATGAGGAGGGCCGAGGGCTGTGCGAGGGAATCCCCCAATTGACGAACGAACGACACACACACACACCCACACCCAAAGGGGGGACGGGGGAGTGTTGTCGGTGCGTGTTGTCGAATGTGGGCCCCCGCTCGAACGGGAGGTCCGACAGCCCGCACCTACAGTCGGCCCTGGGACAGAAGAACATCCTTCAAGAACGCGGGACCCTCCGCCGGCCAAAAAGAACGGCATTCAAGGGCACCCTCCCCCCAGGATGCACAAGAACATTCAACAAATACGAAGAACATCAAGTCACCCTCCCCTCGGTCCGACTGAATATCCATAGCGAGCCCTCTTCCCTCCGACCTCTCTATCGGTATGGGTGTGTGTGTGTGTCTGTTGTTTGTTCGTCGCCGATGGGCCACGGGCTGGTCCTGGAAATGGGCATCCGCGCGCTCGCTGTGCAGCTCCGCGTGGGCGGCGGGCACCACCACCGCGCAGAAGTCCTCGCGACCGCGCGGACTGGGCAGTCGTTGTCGTCGTCGTCGTCGCCGTCGTCGCCGCACGCGTCGTCGTCGCGCTCGCCGTCAACGTCGGGAGAGGAGGAGGAGAAGGAGGAGGAGGACGCGAGAAAAGGGAGGGATATCGAGGAGGGAGGAGGGAGGAAAATTGTGGAAAACGGCGAGGACGCGGAGGAAAGAGGAGGAGCGAATGGAAGGAGATGGAGGCGAAGGAGTAGGAAGAGGCTGCGTGGAGGAGAACGACGCGGAGGAGGGGGAGGATGTCGATGCCGGATTATGCTACCTCTATCTAGCGCAGACGGAGAGAACTACGCAAGATGGCTCGCTTAAACTTAAGCGCTCGCAAAAGCAGCACGAACTGCGGGTGTTTCTGAAACGCAGCACGTTGGCTAGAACGCTCGAGCCTGAATATGCACCTGATGGCAGCGCACTCCGTACTACACAATCCATGGGGCACGTTTGCCTCTGATGGCATGGCCCGTCGCCGCATTATTTCCTTTCTCTTCGGTTCCCATCGGTTCCTCATGCCCTTGGCTTCTGATGGCCTGCCGTTCACCGCTTCGACGGCCAGGGGTCCAAGGGTGAGGCGAGGGCGAAGGAGGAAGGGGAGAAGGTGGAAAGGAAAAGGCGGAACGGCACCCACAGTTCAGACGGTCCCCGACCCGACCTTCTTTACTACCCTCTCCTGCTCCCCATGACGGCCACTGGCAACATCCTTCTCGGACGGGTCTATCACGTGCCGCTTCAGCCTCGTCGCCGACAGCCGCCAGCAGGCGCGGCGCGCATCGACAGCCTGCAACCTCACACCGGACGCCGGAGCCGACCGCCAGCACTTCTGGCCCCACCTGGTGACCAGCCATTCCCGCGGTCGCCCCAATCCAATCGGCAGCCCTTCCCATCAGTGCCACTCCCAAGCTTGACGGAGGAAACGAAAAGGGAAGGGAAGGGAAGGGAGGAAGGGAGGGAGGAAGGGAGGGAGGGAGGGAAGGGAGGAGGGAGGGAGGGAGGAGGAGGAGGAGGAAGGTGACCAGCCGTTCACGCGGTCGTCCCAATCCATTCGGCAGCCCTCCCCGTCAGTGCCACTCCCAAGCGTGATGAGGGAAACGAGAACTCGCAGGGGGGCCGCGGCGGGCGGTCCGCCTGCGAGAGGAGTGGCTGAGGTGGCGGAGAAGGGAAGGGGGGGAGGAAGGGAGGGAGGGAGGGAGGGAGGGAGGGAGGGAGGGGGAGGAGGAGGAGGAGGAGGAGGAGGAGGAGGAGGAGGAGGAGGAGGAGGAGAAGGAGGAGGAGGAGGAGGAGGAGGGGGATGAGTTCGAGCAGCAGGGAGGCGTAGGAGGACGGGCGCGATGAGAAGTGGGGGATGATGACAAGGAGGGAAGGCGGGGCGTTGGAGGTGGAGGAGGGAGATCATCAAGGAGGTGGAGAAGGGACCACGAGAAGAGTGGTGTTGAAGGCGTGGGTGGACGTCGATGTGCCTGGGGGGGGGATGGCGGCGGTCCACCATCCTCGTTGTGTTACCCCCCTCTTTGCCATCCTCCCCTCCTCCCCCCAACTCCCCTCCTAGATGACGAAACAGCGGAGTATACGCACATAGGCCTGGAGGTCCGCGCGGATTGCGTGAAGCAGCGCTAGAAGCCCCTCCCTGGCGCGCGGAGCGCGCCAGGGGCGGCGCGGGAGGCGCCGCCAGGGGGCCACCGCAGATCAAAGAAATCAGCGCGGAGCTCCAAAGGCTATGTTTATGCAGTTTATCTTGCCTTGACCTCCTCCTCCTCCCCCCAACCAGGATAGGTGCATGAGCCAGGACGTCGGTTCGCCTTGCGCGCTGCTGATCCCACCTACGTAGTCGGCTGTGGCAGCGTGCGAAGCCCTGCACGTGCCTAGTTGCGCCCGTGGGGTAACCGTCCACAGAGCACCCAGACTGAGAATGTGGCAAGAGAGCCAAGAATCAAATCGATAAGTCGGATCGGCGATCGGCATGAATCGGATCGGCGGAAATCGGCAGCCAAATCGGGAGAAGACGAAACGGCGCACATCGACAGTCTAGTAAGGCCTCCACTGAGGAGCCGGAGCTCAAATCGGAATCCGAGGTCGAAGTCGAATCGGAACCGGAATCGATCGAAGTCGAATCGGGTCGGAGGAGTCGACAGGACCCCTGCGTGGTGCAAAGGTTCGGAGGCCACAGAACAGGACAGGGCAGGACAGGACAGGAGCAGCGTGCACAGAGGCGCGCCCTGTGCGGGAAAACCAGCCACAAAGAACCCAAGGAGGAGGAGGAGGAGGAGGAGGCAGGAGGCAGGACAAGTAAGAAGAAGAGGAAAAGGACGAGGAGAAGAGATAAGGAGGAGGAGGAAGAAGGAGATAAGCAGGAAGGAGGAGGGAGGGAGGAGGAGGCAGCGGGCAGGACAAGGAAGAAGAAGAGGAAGAGGAGGAGGAGGAGGAGGAGGAGGAGGAGAAGGAGGAGAGATAAGGAGGAGGAATAAGAAGATATGCAGGAAGAGGAGGAGGGAGGGATGAGGAGGAGGAGGATCTCCATGTGGTTTAACGGCTGCGCATTGCCAGTCGCCTCGTCCAGAGTAGCCCCGCCATCGCCAGAAACAGCGCATTCAGGTACTTCTTCTGGGCTCTGCGTTCCAGTAGTGCCACCAGCCGCCCCACCTCCATCAGGCTCATCTGGTGCAAGCGCCCCGACGCTGCCAGCTCCAACGGCTCCGCCACCGTCATCACCTCGAGCGCCGTGCTCTTGCTGAAAATCAAATGCGTGAGCCCTGCATTCGCCAGCAGTCACTGGCGCCCTCAGGGTCTTCTCCAAAAGGTAAACCTCCTTCTCCTCCTTAATGCGTTCCTGCTTCTTCTCCTTCTTCTGCAAACGCTTGAATCTCTTCTTGGCCTTGTGAGCCGCCGCCGCGTCAGCCTCGCCGATGAAGAAGTGCGAGGGGCCCCCCATGGCGGAGGAGGAGGCGGCCTCGGACATTTGCTCCTTATCGGCGGTGTCGGGACAGGCGCCCTTGGCGGCGGCGGCGGAGGCGTCGAAGACGAAGTTGGAGGGCTCGGAGCCGCTGGAGTCGTCGGCCCAGCTGCGAGCTACGCCAAGACCATCCTCTCCAGATACGGATCCTTCGGCACGTCGAAGACCCCCGGCGGCGGAGGCATCGGAGCCCCGGGCCTCGCGATCTTCTCCGTGGCGTGAGCCTGCAGGGCCTTCCGCTCCGGGTGCATGTTGATGCGCATCTGCGAGTTGATGTTCCCCTTGAACCTGAACCTCTTCCTCTTGCGGCGCCCCTGAAAGCCCTGAGGTACTCCACCCGGGGCAGGCGTTGAGGAAGCAGGGCATGGCGGCGGCGGCGGAATAGTACCCGGAGCCGTTCCCGAAGGCGGGGATGCCACTCCATGTGCCAGGGGCGACTGCGGGGGGGCCGGTGGGCGCAGGACCTTGCGCACACCATGCGCGGTCTGCACCAACATGGACTCCCGCCCCCGCGAGCAGGCAGTTGTAACTGGAGGCCCTGATGACAATGACGTCGCCATCGAAGGGGGCGACGCGACCTAAGAGCTCGCTGGTCAGCAGGTCCTCGGGGATGAAGATGCGCATGCACGGCGCAGCAGCGCCAGGAGCGGAAGATAGACCAGCTTCACGATGTAGAGACCGGTCAGCGCAGCATCCCTGGCGTTCGCAAGGCCCGACGCGGGCCCCACGCTCAAGCAGCAGGCAAAGGCCCGTCAGCCCCAGGGGCTCGGGCTCAACTTGAGCCCGAGCGGCTTGAGACCTTGAGCCAAAATGGCTACGGACCAGCAGGAAGAGGAGGAGGGAGGGATGCGGAGGAGGAGGAGGAGGAGGAGGAGGAGGAGGAGGAGTGTAAAGGCTCAGAGACCGCATGCTCACAGTTCCATGCCAGCCCGCCACTGCGTTCTCTCCTTCTCGAAATTCTCACGTTCTTCCACACGTATCTCGTCCGACGCTGCATTCTCGCATTCCCACAATCAGAGGCCACCGAGGCTAAGAAGTAGTATTGTCTGATATTTGAGGAGCGCGGGACATGTGAGCGCCAGAGTTTCCCACAACCTGGCGCGTGAGAAAATTGTGCAGGAAGGTGTCATGGCCGGTGCCTGTCCCGCAGTCCCCGCCCTGGCCCCAGTTTTGTGAGCGTTCTGCCCTGACATTTGTACTGCCGCGCTGCTGGCGGCCTGTCTCTACGGACCGTCCTGCTGACGACCCCTTGCAAAGACCATCGGGTCGGGCTTCTACGAATCTGGGTCTGCAAACCTGGACCAGTCAGGCTTTGCAGGATCCTGCAAAATCCTCCAGGATCCTGCGCGCTAGCCCAGGTCAATGCAGCCCTGGCTTTGCAGGATCCTGCAAGATACGGCGTTCAGGCTGACCCCCGTTTGCATTGGCCCCGGTCTCTACCAGCTGGATCGGGGGGCTACCTGTCTTGCCGGGCCGCTGGGTTCCTCTGGTGTCCATCTTCCCCCGAGGCCCATTCGCAGCGGGGGCTGCCCCTGGAATTCAACGAGTGGTGAGGTGGCAGGCTGGCCTGGTCATCGGGGGGGCGGTCTTAAGTCGATGCCGTGGGTCCTGGCCCGTCGAAACATTTCCGGGTAGTCCACTTCGACATGACCTCTGAATGATTAACGATGGCGGCCGCCGTCATCGGGCGCGCGCACGAGACGGCCAGTGCGGAGTGCGACCGCAAGCCCGACGACAGGCCTGTGTCAGATTCCGCCGATCTCCTCGGGCGGCTCGTGGGCGCGGAAGGGTCGCCTAGACCGCGCGCGCTGGGGTCTCATTACGGGGTCGGCGCTGGGTTTTTGTTGCGCCGCTCGGGGTCGATCGCGCGGACGGGGCCCTTGGCGATCCGCGTTTGCAGCTGTGCTGGGCGGCAAGCGTTACGATCAAGGTATGCCAACCCCGGGTTCGGAACGTCGAGCAAGAAGTGGCCCGTCCCGCCGAAAGCCCGTCTTACAGGTTTTGATACGCACGTGTGTCCATG